CAGCAATTTATTATAAAAACGTTTTCATAATTGTAACATACATATTTACATACATAATTATTCAGGTGCATGTGTAATAACTTGCAAAAACTAGGCTACAGCAGCACTTCTTCTTCGTCATCGTCTTGTCTGATGCACTCAACCAAGCGTTCTAACCACGACCTCGTACGATTTGTAAGTTTGAAGATCTTTTTTTATGCCCAAACATACACACTACACACTGACTAAAATTCAAAAAGTGAAAAAGCATAATAGGACCCCTTTAATGATCATAATCCATGACTATACATCAAAAATTGTATCCTGTAGGCCTGCCATTGATTTGAGTCATTCAAATGCAATGCATCATTCGCAATGCAACATGGGATGAGGTTCACACTGTTCAATTTGTTTTCTTATGTGTAATTATTGTACTTTCTTACTTATTCACATCATTAGTCAAAAAATTATTAAAGGGTATTCCGAGAGTAAAAGGGAGGTGGCCAGAGACCACATTTCTTTTACATGGGTTATAAATCAGGAAACGAATAAATTGTGTGTTAAACGACTTCTTGCCCTCAGCATATTTACATTTACATTTACATTTAGACATTTAGCAGACGCTTTTATCCAAAGCGACTTACAATTGGGGGATACATAAAGCGATTCTTCTTAAAAGAGGCAAACAGATACAGGAAGTGCTTGTAATACCAAGTTTTTAGACATTGTTCAAATAAGTACACGCTAGAAAGAGAAGGAATAGATAAAGAGAGAGTTTTTTTTTTTTTTTATGATGATGAAGTCAAGTAGCTTCGAAAGAGATGAGTTTTCAGCTGTCGCTTGAAAATGGTCAGGGATTCAGCATTCCGGATCCGCATATATCATGGGAACGAACCAAATGAAGCCCTATATACCCAGAGGACAAAGGAATGCTTCTTTTTATAACCATGATTTGTGAATGGTTCATGTGCTGTCAGCTTCAGACACAAAGTGAAAGACGGGAGAAATAGGGCAGCAGGGTTTGAGTTAGTGGCTGGGGAACAGCGCCCTCTAGGATCCGCACTCAATAGATTTCACCTGTCATATGAGGCACTTTTAAAAAGGGGGGGATTTCTGGATTGATAAATACAGTTGTGTATCGCTGCTTATGCCTTAAATTAATAAATGATGTGGTTCTTTTCATAAATTAGCCTATCAGTAAGTTTGCCTTTAACACCATTGCTAATCTTCAACCCTCTTTAATTGAAAAAGTATTAGAATTCAGTCTCATATGCAGGAAAAAGAGAACTGATTTTGTTTATTTGTATATGATTCATATTGATCAAGCTAAACAGAAATGCGAATAATAAAGGTCAATTTCTTGAAAGTAAATGGGTCAAAACAAAAGGAGCACGTATTTCTTTGTATTTGATAAACAATAGGTTTCAACAGCTGTCAATCGATGTTCAAACGTGTTGGTAATTAAAGTTCGATTATAGTTTAGATTATAGCCGAAATTCCTTTAAAGATTCGACTGCCACGAAAGTCATTACATAATTCGAATACTGCCTGTAAATGCTTGTATAGCCTATTCACATCGCAGACTAGGCTACTTTCTGCTGTTATAGGCACTTAAAGCTCCAATCAGCTGCTGACACGTTTCACCAGCAGATGTCGCTGTTGTATTGTAAATTCAGAATATTCTCAGGGTCATTCACCAGCATGCTTGTTCTTGGTTATTAAGTAACAGCTTGGAGTTTTCCTTCTGTTACTACTATATTTTCGCTTTTTGGCATTCAGTAGTCAATCAGTACCAGAGAACCCTGATTAGAGATTTTGTAATGTGCTTTGAACACAGCCTGGTTATTAGTTTAAAATGAGTCTTTCTGAGGAGACCTGGATGCAGATCCGAGAGTTTATGGCAGCTTTATGGTAGTGAGGTGCTCCTGTTGTGCATGGCATGCTTCACTGGAACTGCCTGACAGGCCAGAGAAAACAGTCAGTGTAATCGTTTCCCCTCTCTAGCTCTCTCTCTCTCTCTCTCTCTCTCTCTCTCTCACACACACACACGCACACACACACACACTCAGACAATTACCCATATAGATAAAAAGTATGCCTATGCTGTTCCTTTTTAACTCTATAAAGCTACTGTATCTATATATACTGTATCATATACAAATTTCTAAGGCCTCTAAATGATCAACATGACCAAAACTTTGCTGTATAACCTGTTGTACACAAGCTACTACATGCCTTCTGCCCTCAGATTGATCGTTCATATTTTTAACAAGTAAAAGACCCTGTAGTATAATTCTAAATATATCCTCCTTCAGGTCGTAGTACAAGTGTCTTTCTGCTGTGAAATCTTTTCAGATTTTTATAAAGTAAATGTAAGAATAACTTTTATATTGTTAGTAATATTTCGAGATGAACACTTATTGGACTAAGAAAAATCCAAATGTATCTCATATGATATGCAAGGCTTTTGATGAATGTTTATTTGTACATCTCTCAATCATCATTGTATTGCACTGCATTATGTTTCACCCCCATCCCAAAATAAAAACTACAGAGCTTTAATAATAAAACTAAGCATTTAAATATCATCTTACTAAGACATATTATTGAGAAATATAGAGTGAAAACTGATATTTATATGCATTATGTAAATACTCTGCTATACAGTTATACAGATCTTATTGATTTACATTATGTTTATATAATATACTTATATTTTGGCCATATAAATATCAGCAACTGCACCAAAATGCAAATTTTTGCTCAGTTTGGGCCTCTGAATAAAACTAAGGTGTTTTTCCTCCTGGAGTACGAGCTCCTCTCTCTCTCTCTCTCACACACACACACGCACACACACACACACTCAGACAATTACCCATATAGATAAAAAGTATGCCTATGCTGTTCCTTTTTAACTCTATAAAGCTACTGTATCTATATATACTGTATCATATACAAATTTCTAAGGCCTCTAAATGATCAACATGACCAAAACTTTGCTGTATAACCTGTTGTACACAAGCTACTACATGCCTTCTGCCCTCAGATTGATCGTTCATATTTTTAACAAGTAAAAGACCCTGTAGTATAATTCTAAATATATCCTCCTTCAGGTCGTAGTACAAGTGTCTTTCTGCTGTGAAATCTTTTCAGATTTTTATAAAGTAAATGTAAGAATAACTTTTATATTGTTAGTAATATTTCGAGATGAACACTTATTGGACTAAGAAAAATCCAAATGTATCTCATATGATATGCAAGGCTTTTGATGAATGTTTATTTGTACATCTCTCAATCATCATTGTATTGCACTGCATTATGTTTCACCCCCATCCCAAAATAAAAACTACAGAGCTTTAATAATAAAACTAAGCATTTAAATATCATCTTACTAAGACATATTATTGAGAAATATAGAGTGAAAACTGATATTTATATGCATTATGTAAATACTCTGCTATACAGTTATAGAGATCTTATTGATTTACATTATATAATATACTTATATTTTGGCCATATAAATATCAGCAACTGCACCAAAATGCAAATTTTTGCTCAGTTTGGGCCTCTGAATAAAACTAAGGTGTTTTTCCTCCTGGAGTACGAGCTCCATATTCTCTTATATCACACTATATGAGCCATACAAGCCTAGTGTATTAAATATAATACTCACAAAACACATACAAAGATGCTGGTGTTTATGTTTTATTATTTAAAAAAACATTTTGTCTAAATATTGGTTAAACTGTTCCATTAAAATGTGTGTTAGGCCCTACAGGGGTCATTTCTTCCACCTGTGCATGATTATCATTTCTATTTATGCTGTTCTTCATTTTGTAAGAAATCATACCTTGACAAAGGCTACTTGTTTGGCCGAAATGTTGGTAATAATAAATTGTGGTTAAGAGAGTGTGCAGTTATGATTTTTCTTCATTAAGTTTCCTCCTTTAACTTGCAAGGTTTGCATTTGTTTTGCTCTATTAAGGGTTAACACTAATTAAAATCACACTGACCTTTTAAACTTTCAAGGTTTTAACATAATTATATTGCATTCTTCATTATTGCAAACTGACACCATCACACCTGACTCTTCATTCACTGACAGTTAAAACTGTCTGGAATGTGGTAATTGATCAGCATACCAGGAACAAAGTAGACTAACTCACCAAATACATTACTTAATGATATATGAAGGTTACATTTATCCGACAAAACAAATCCTTTAGAATGATCATATTCCAGGATTAATTTTTTATAGAACTTTAACATGAATAACTTTGACATGAACCCGAATACCTGCTATCTCACAAGAGACAAATTATCATGACTTAACTTAAACTAAGCAGTTCTATAAACCAAATTTACACTTTTAATAAAATAGATCTCGCAGTCCCTAGATAGCTCATTCGCATGTCGCCTTCACCTTCTCGGCCATCTCCACAGAATGATGCAGCGAAATATCCCTTTCCAGAAACAGTCTTTTCTGTTCACAGCTGGCAAGTCTGCAGGTGAGCCAGGTGGAGAGGGTGCAGCTCAAGATGCCCAGGCTGGCCAGGCAGAGGAAGGCCAGGTGCAGAGAGTACAGGCTGTTGGCCCGTTTCACAATTGCACGCAGAAACTGGACGTTGAGAATTCCCCCAATAAGTCCACAGATACAACAAGCTGAAAACAGGATCATCTGTGAAATGAGGCGGGACAAAACAGGTATGAGATAACAGTAATTATGCAGTGTTGACTACTATATAAACAGCTTCTTATTACACATTAGTATCACGAAAGTGATAAAGCAGGGATTACAGGCAATGTTTACAAGCCGGTGTCAGTGGCTTACAATGGCTATTATCTTTGTGAATGTGTGTTTAGATTAGATAAGAAGTATTTATATTGTTGCGCCTTGTGTCACTGTACTCTTACAGTCAGTCCAGTTCTTTTCTTCGCACACAGTATCCCACATAGTCCACAGACAAGAAACTGAAAAACAGAGATGTGTTACTAAATCTAAATCAAATTCTCGTACAGTTTCAAATTACACATTCTGGATATCATATTTTAGTTGAACATTGCATATTGTGAAGGTAATCACCCTAATTAATCCTTAATAATCCATAATTACTGTCAAATGTATTTTGAGTTAAACAGTAGACCTATTTAAAGTGTGATTTAAAAAAAAAAAAAGCAATGTCATATTGCACATTCTGGATATCATATTTTAGCTTCACATTGTATATTGTGATGTTAGAAATCACGCTGATTAACTCTATGCTTAAAGGGGACATCGGATGCAAAATTCACTTTTACATGGTTTTTGAGTATAAATGTGTCTTAGCAGTGTGGACACAACTACCCTACAATGATAAAAATCCATTCACTCCTTTTTTTTTTTTAATCCCCAAAAAACCTGAACAGTCTTGATTTTCTGAGCAGTATGACGTCATACTGCTCAGGCCCCGCCTACGACCGCTGACAGACTGTCCCGTATTAGCATATTTCCACCCACAGCCAGTTGTACGCTGTCTGCCATTTTCTCTGTGCTCGAGCAGCTGTAGCGACAACATTCCCCTTGTCCAAATACCCGCACTTGTGGTCTTTGCACTTGACCACTTGACTACTTATATGATGTATTTCCTGTATTTGGTCCAAGTGTTCAAGTGAGCATGAAGACCACAAGTGTGTGTAAAACTTTTCATTACCTGATGGGATACACTTATAGTGTTGTAAAAATGCAAGTGTTTACAGAGATTTATTTTTATTTTCAATACTTTGCATTTAAAAATCTACTTCTAAATGTCTGTTCAGTAGTCCCTATAACAAATGACAATTTAATTTTGTGGTGCTTATAATTAAGTGATAAAAAGCAGTTGCAAATGTTGTACAAAATAATTATCGCCACTACTCATTTGCACCAATAAAACGTGCAACTATTTGTTTTACTACCAAATTATACGTAATATCTAAATATTATTAATATTTAACATACATTGGAAAGGTTTCCGTGACCTCTCGCGAGATCTCGCCAAAAAGTCTCACGATTTATTTCCACAACATGATGCACACTAAGCACACTAAGAGTTAGTGTGGATTTTGTGTGCGTTAAGGGCACTGCGCTTTGGCGTTTTTAAGACCTGTGACAGTCTTGCGCACTTCCTTCCTGTCGCTCGCATGTGCTCTCAAGTGGCCAAGACCACAAGTGTGGGTATTTGGACAAGGGGAATGTCTCGTAAGCAGTGCAGGTGTTTTGTAGTTGGATGTAAAAGTGTACATAACAGTCTTCATTTCTCCCGACATGAAAGCCACTGAGGACGCAGTGGATAAGTTTTATTTTTGATGGTACCGAATACACAAAAAACGGAAGAGAGGAGCGGGGTGAGCAGTAATTTAAAGAGGCATGCACCGAAACGGGTCACCCTGAACAGAGCCGTTTTGACAAGGTAAAAAGGTATTGATTTACAAGACCATTGAGGATTTTTATGACGGCGTTTTAGTGCCACGTAAAAAAAAAAATAAAATTCTAAGATTACGACATTAAAGTCATAATATTTTGAGAAAAAAAGTAAAAATTACGAGAATAAAGTTGAAATATTTTGAGAATATAACACAGGACAGATCATCGTCTTGCCACTGGTGCACCGACGGAGGCCCAGCCGCGGCAAGCCACTGGTGGCGTGCCACCCAAAAAACTCTGGCAGACCGACAGCATTTTTAGATTGGTTGGCTTGCCGATGGTGTGCTGACGGTGGTCCGACCGTGTAAAGCCGCTGAATTTGTGCCACCCAAAAACTGCTGGAAAAAAATGCTCATTGTTTGCTGGGGAGTATACTATCAAAATATTATAACTTTAATTTCATAATTGCCACTACTTTATTCTCGTAGTTTCGACTTTATCCTCTAAATATTTCGACTTTATTCTCGTAATTTCGACTTTATTCTCAAAATATTTCGACTTTATTCTCGCAATTTTGACTTTATTCTCAAAATATTTCGACTTTATACTCGTATTGCTACGAGTACGACTTTATTCTCGTAATTTTTTTTTCTCAAAATATCACAAATTTAATCTCGTAATCTTAGATTTTTTAATTTTTTAATGTGGCACTAAAATGCCGTCGTATAATTTGAACCAAAGTATATTGCAGACATTTCATGAAGACCCTAAAGAATCATACCAACTTGTGGAAAATGGGCATCCCATGTCCACTTTAAAAATAAGAATAATTACTGTATTTAAACTCAGGGGCGTAGATTACGCGGGGGACGTGTCCCCCCTCCCCATTTTAATATCACGTAAATTTGTCCCCCGCACTTTTTCGGGCAAGTGTGTTCGCATAGAGGTTTTCAAGAGCCGGTGTGAATAAATATAGATTTAAATTCAAAGAGACAGGATAGTCTGTGCATGATCTGATGTTTCATTCGGACCCAGAATAAGCCGAGATGAACATCGAGGAGCGCTAAACACTCCGTGCAGTGTGTGTTTCATTCATACTCAAAGCCGGAGGGCGCTCTCCCGCAGAAAGTCGTACGAGGAATTGAAAACAGTTGTTTTCACAGAAAACAGAAACGTTTGGAAACATGAAGACATTAAACATACGATTGCGACAATATATGTTTTATTTGTGTTTGTCAAGTCATCTCCAGGTAATAAATAAAGTATATGAACAATGCAGTGCTAATTGACATTTATTAGAGTATAGAAACTATTCTGCCTTATTATGTGATAAAAAAGTTTTGTAGTATATAAACAAATCATTATTATTGGTTATTGTCCAGCAGTTATCTGATTTCTAAGCCAATTAAAAGCTAGAAATTAGAGAAAAATTTAAGTTGCCTATACACTACCAGTCAAAAGTTTTTGAACAGTAAGATTGTTCATATTTTTTAGAGAAGTCTCTTCAGTTCACTAAGCCTGCATTTATTTGATCCAAAGTACAGCAAAACAGTAAAAATTTGAAATATTTGTACTAGGCTATTTCAAATAACTGTTTTCTATTTGAATATATTAAAAAATTTAATTTATAGTGATTTCAAAGCTAATTTTTTTGCATCATTACTCCAGTCACACGATCCTTCAGAAATCATTCTGATATTCTGATTTGCTGCTCAAAATTTTTTTTTTTATTATTATGATGTTGAAAACAGCTGAGTAGAATTTTTTCAGGTTTCTTTGATGAATAGAAAGTCCAGAAGAACCGCATTTATCTGAAATATAAATATTTTGTAACATTTTAAATGTCTTTATCATCACTTTTGATCAATTAAATTAAAGCATCCCTGCTAAATAAAAGTGTTGATTTCTAGAATTACTTTTCAAAAAAATAAAAATTATACTGACTCTAAGCTTTTGTATGGTATAGTGTATAATGTTACAAAAGCTTTTTATTTCACTGAGCAGAAGAGACTTCTTAAAAACATTAAAAATCTTACTGTTCAAAAACTGTTGACTGGTAGGTTATATAGATTACAGAAATGTTATATTGTAATGTTTATATATGTTATATTAATATATATATAACATTTCTGTCCCCCTCACTTCTGAAATGATGGCTACGCCCCTGTTTAAACTATTAGTTAAAAAAAAGAAGTATTTAAATGTAATTCTTCAAAATACTACAAATATAATACCTTATTTAATATAGTATATAAATCTCATGCAGAAGATACATTAAGATCTCTTACTTACACACACGCCGCTCCATATCGGTGTGGAGAAGGAGGTTTGGCTTTTCTGTAGCCAGTGGGCTTGTATGATCCCCAGCACACCCAGAGAGATGCAGGACACCCCGAGTCCCATATGAAAGACAGAGAGGACCAGCAAACTCCAAACAAGCGCTCGCCTGGTGCACATGCTCCTCCAGGCATCATTCCTCGCACTGTGAGAAAGAGTCAAAGGGAGAAAATCCCTCTCTCACCACGCCAGCGACTATGGCAGATATTACACATCTTCTGTCACACATTCCAGCTTTATGAAGTGTTTAATTTAAAGTTTAAACTCTGATTTCAGTTTTGCAAGTATTATAACAAATATAACTACAAATAAAATAAGCTAATGCAAAATTAAACCTCTGTGCATCTCCTGCCCTTCATTGCATATAGATGCATGTTTCTCTGATTTCAGTACTCTTATAAGCAGTTGGACAGTTTGTGATATGGCCATACAGGTCACATGACTATCTGACCTTTAAAACACAAACCATAAACACACGCAGCCTTCTAATGGTCTACTTCCCTGGATGCTTATAGCTGAGTAAGGCATAGTTCACTCAAAAATGAAAATTCTGTTATCAGTTATCTGACATTCTTTTGTCCATATAAAAAAAGGTATATTGAAGAATGTTTCTGCCTATACAATGTAAATGGGCCAAAACAAGATGAACAAGGGTGAACTGTCCTTTTAAAGGGATATTCCACCCAAAAATTAAAATCATTTACTCATCCTCATGTCATTTCTGTCACATTATGGGTCTGAAGAGGGATGAAGGTAGACAGAGAAGGTTATAAATAGAGACTTGTTTTTTTAAACAGTGTGAATACAGGTAATCCACAGAAGAATATCAATGAAACAGTTGCACTTAAACACATTCATCACCAGACGTAGAATGAAGGAACTGAAGAGCTTATATAACAAACAGAGTACAAAACAGCTTTGATCAAATTAATGAATAACCATGTTAACTAGATAACAAAGGCAGGTAAAACAGAAACCGACCACAATGAAAATGACACCAATTTCTAACCTGTCTGCGTTTCTTTCTTCTGTGAAACACAAAAGAAGATATTTAGAAGAATGTTGGTGACCAAACAGTTTTGGGTTCCATTGACTTCCATATAGATTTTTTTTTTTTGGGTCCCGAAACCATTTGGTAACCAACATTCTTCAAAATATTTTGTTCCACACAAGAAAGTAAGTCATGCATGATTTTTTAAACATTTTTTATCTTTCATCATTACATAAACTCCAGATACATGGCCCACTATCCACACTGATGTGCTCAGATCCCCCTCAGTGAGTGTGACACTGCTCAGCAACCCTCTGCATGTGATCCGGTGAAAGGGTCCTGCGACAAAGGCAGTCACATCCCATTAATCTCAGTTTGACGTGCCTCAGTGCTTGTGAAAACAGGGGCTCTGATACTGCCGAGTATGACGGCTCTGTGCTGATTTACCTTCAGGCACTTCTCACACGCTCTCTGAGATCTGCAGCACAGGATGAGATCTCTCTGCCTGAAACCTTCATTAAAAATGTGTTGAACTGTCCCACTGTATTTTTAAGACCAAACAAGCAAGCTAAAAAGGTAGCTGGTTAAGTTATTAAAGTAGTTCTATGCTGTAAAACATGGTAACCTACATATGTTACCTATTTTTACCTGATTTAACCCATAAAAAATTGTTTTGTTTGTATAAATTAATGTATTGAGGTTGAATCAGTAATGACAAAAAAAATTGACTTGAATAAAACCAGTTCATGTTACCATTTTCTGTGTAATATAAAACAAATGCTGTCCATGCATACACTCTCATTCAGTATTTTTAATCTCTTTCTTCCTTATGCTTCTTAAATGGCTTCTCAGGCTGCATTTTTAGCCTTTTACTGCTCGGAAAGCATTGCTTTTTAAATAACTGCATTTTTTAAAGGTAATTTTACTTTACAGTGACCTGTTAGCCAAGTTTTAGGAAAGAAACTGCACCACGCTGGAGGTCACTGTGTTGAAGCAGTGCAATGTGAAGCCTGCTGTTTTCCCTGTTTGTGCCTCTGAAGTGTGAAGCCAGTATGTTTTCCAGTCATTACCCTTGTTTTTCTCGTTAACGTGTGGTGTCACAGGTTCTAAACTGGGTGGGCATGCAGCACATCTTGCCCACACAATACTCAGCATGGAGAGTAAACTGTATATTCATTATGGAAATGCCAATGGAGTTTTACGATTTTAATCATTTGCATGAATTTTACATGCATTTTAGGCTTCCTCATACATCAAGGTTTTTCGAGACAGTAATTGAGGGAGTGAATTAAAATGAAATCTACAATAAAATCTTGATTTTTAGTAGTTTTGGCTAGGAGTGTTTCTAGTCTTTTATCAGTACTGGGGCACAGAAAAAGTGTGCCTATATTTTGATACCTTTTCAAGTTTTGTTTTCTACAATGGACTGTAGGTAAATTTTACCTTATCCAGCGCTGTTTTTGTTTTCTCTCTTATGAAGTATCCCACTGTTTAGGTTTGCAAAAACACTGCAAAAGATTCGGTCTGTCAGAATGAATCAAACTGAATCACACAAAATTTTCAGTCCCTTTTTCAAACTCATTTGACTGATTAGATCAAAAGTGTGATTTATTTGCAACTCTACCTTTGCTAGTTTGCTAGTTGCTAGTTCTAAACAGCTGACAGAAAACATAAAATAGTAAAAAATAGTATCAGAGAAAATTATTTTCAGGTCAGTGAACAAGAATCTTCATTGACACCATGATTTGTCAGTAATATTTTACTGGGGTACAGTGGTATTTCACTGGGGCTCATGTACTGTAGAATTTAAAAACAAAAGTCTAGAGAAGCTCCTGCTTAATTTAATGGTTGTTTTGTCTTATTTTAAAGTCATCTCGAGGCCCCCTGGTTGAGAACCACTGATTTACTGTATTGTGATCTGACTTTTTCTCTTATTAAAACCCCCTAGAGAATGATACAGATAAATGTGACCGTGGACCACAAAACCAGTCTTAAGTCGCTGCGGTATATTTGTAGCAATAGCCAAAAATACATTGTATGGGTCAAAATTATTGATTTGTATTTTATGCCAAAAATCATTAGTATATTAAGTAAAGATCATGTTCCATGAAGATATTTTGTACATTTCCTACAGTAAATATATTAAAACTTAATTTTTGATTAGTATTATGCATTGCTAAGAACTTAATTTGGATAACTTAAAAGGCGATTTTCTCAATATTTTGATTTTTTTTGCACCCTCAGATTTCAGATTTTCAAATAGTTGTATCTCGGCCAAATATTGTCCTAACAAACCATGCATCAATGGAAAGCTTATTTATTCAGCTTTCAGATGATGTATAAATCTCTATTTCGAAAAATTGACCGTTATGACTAGTTTTGTGGTCCAGGGTCACAAATATGGACATGTCTGTTTTTGACAGAAAAGTAGGTTAGACTTTTTTACCATGTGATCTCAGAGTATCATTATGACTCAGAACAATAACAATTAGCCTTACTAAAAAAACTGCAGAGTTGTTGTTATGAGTACTGTACATTGCATAATAGGGTTGTTTTGGGGTGGCAAGTAAGTCTTCAGCCAGAATGTTATGGTCTTTTCTTTTTATTCTCAGGGAGAGCTGGACACTCTCATTGGAGCTTACTGAACCCGTAATCACAAATACCTAATCTTAAAGGCATTCACACATTGAACTAATTTGTGCTTACAAAATCATATTCATCTTAGCCATTCATCTAAATAATGAACACCTAACTAGCCCAAACTCCATAAAAGACTTTTATTCCACCCACTGTAGTTAATGACCTTAATTCTTAAAGCTGAATTGGCTTTGCTCTATTGCTCAATGGATGCCAAAGGTGAGCTGCTTGCAGAATGGAACAAACCAGTCCTTGAGAATACCTTAGCTGCTTTGTGAAGTAAAACGTACCATTTCTTCACATACCAGACGCTATGATGTAACACCATGCAGTAGGAAAACAATGGCTTTTCACCAAAAATTCAAAGAGCAGTTAAAGATGTTTAGCAAGGCACAGGAACTTTCTAGTATGTTATTGGCTATTTTTAATTTCTTTTGCTCTGAAAAACTCTCTATTATCCCCAGCTTTATCAAGAATAACCGGGCCTCTGGCTCTTTTAGTAGATCTGCTGAAGTTAATATGTGTACAACTAAACCTTAAAAGAAAAAGGGTAAAATCAGAACATCACTGAGGTTTTTGGTAAAATGTTGGTGTCCTAATATAGTATATTATTACCAGTCACTTACAAATAGGCGCAGCACATGAGAAAAAGCAACACCCATTGATTGTGTATCTTGGAATGCATTCAGATTTAAACATCAAGTCGTGCCCAGGCAAGCTTCTTTATCCCATTAAGATTTTATAAACTTTTCTAAACAGATCTATCCAGTTGCCATAGTGTACATAGCATTCCAAGCAAACAGTCAAGGCCATGTAATAAGAAATGGAATAAGCCTACTATTGTATATCTAGACAAAATGATCCAAAAGCAGACTGAATCATTTGGAATGAATCTTACTTATATATAAAATTTGATGGTGAAATATTAAATGGATAGTACATCCAAAAATAATTAATTCTGTCATCATTTACTCACCCTCATGTCATTCCAAACCAGAATGCATTTCTTTCTTTTGAGAACTGGTAATCAAATAGTTTTGGGTGATTTCCACAGTATTTTTTTGTCCATAATATGGACAATGGGTTCCAAAACTGTTTGGTTACCAACATTCTTCAATATAAGCTATTTTGTGTTCCATAGAAGAAACAAAGTCATACAGGTTTGGAACGACATGAGGGAGAGTACACAATGACAAAATCTTCATTTTTGGGTGGACTATCTCTTTAATACACAGAACTTTTCTCAAGAAACGTCTGCCTTTTATTTGGGTCAGTGCTAAACTTTCATATGGTCTTCAGTTTGCAAACTTCACTCTAGACAACCAATCAGAGAGCTCTAGTCCCTCATCGCATGCTGAGATTGGGACTGAGCCAGTGTTACCTAAAATAACTCTGTGGGACAGAAGACCACTCAATTAAGTCAAGAGATTTGGACATCAATCGCATTAATATCATAGAGATGTGAGATGGTTTGTAATCATCCAATAATAATCAAAGAGTATGTAGAGGGATGATAGTTCATCCAAATGTCATCATGCAAACTTCACTCTAGACTAAGTGGTAAATGATGACAATGTTCATTTTTGGGTGAATTATCCCTTTAAGGCGAAAATAATCTATTTCTCAAAGATTTCTCAAAAATGTTCACTTATTAGTACTACATAATCAAGACTTGGTAAATGACCAAATTCAGCTTAGCCAAGCTGAACTTTTAGAGGGTGACACTGAACACTGAAACTCTTAGCAGGATAAGGCCTAGGTAAACACACAAGTTAAATAAGCAACAGATACCACAGGAAAGGGTCAAAGATATTTTAATGATAGCGTGTTTAGGTTGGGAATTTGAAGAAACTATGTTTGTGTGTGACTGAGAGCGCTTGAGATCTCTATGCAATGGACAGTACTTCACATAGTTTAGCATGGCTGAAGGCTAATGAGCTTTATCAGTATCCCGTTTTGTAAATGAGGCTGTGACATTGAGGTCACTAGAGAACCCACTGGTATCCACATAATGGCATCATTTTTAAAGCAATGAAAGGAAGTGACAGATTTAAGCCCGAGTTGCACATCAATGCACGACTCAATGCAGACATGTGTATGATATGCTGCCTGTTGTGCATTTCCCATTCAATCAAATGATAAGATCTTTTAAACAACATTTACTCAAGTAAATTCAAGATTAAAATACTTTAAAACATATTTTTATTATTATCTTTGCCCTTCAGTATAGAGCTCCTTCATGACATAAATGGTTACGGTTTAATTATTATAACAAATCTCAAAAGTGTTTTAGCATTAAAAATACAGCAATACAAAATTGATTATTAAAGACTGTTCTAACACAGGAAAGGTTTGCAATTATACAAGGACCCTCACTCTTAAACACTGTAGTTAGTACATTTAAAATGACAACTAGAAAAACACAAAATATAAAAATAGATCAATACAACTTTCCAGTAGAACAAAGATGTGACATTAGATGTTAAACCTAGTATAATGGTACATCCTTGGATACTGAAATCAATATACTGTACACTGACACTGACAAATAATAAGTCACATTCCCAGAGGGCCAAAATGTATGTAACACATACCACATACAACTTCAAATATTAAAATGTACTGATAAAGACACTTACAATTCAAGCAAAACTGCTTAACTAAAACAAAGAAAGGAGGTAACCTTGAGGCAGTTCATCTAGAATGAAAATGTTTCAGATTCCATCTCTATCACAATTAATGAACAAATCTCCTATTTCTCTTTCCACCAACAACCCTTAAAAGCATTAACATTGCATAAGGGACTTTGTAACAACTCAGAGTCTTTTAAGAATCAGACAACAGCTTTCACATGTTCATTGTCACAGCGAATACACACATAATATAAAGACAGGTATACAATAACATATATTCAGTACTTTTCCAAAAAACAGATGCCATCGAGGGTAGATGCCACCTAAAGTCGATATTTATCACGTCAAAAAAATATGGCACAGCTATCAGTATGAACTCAGCAGTATCACCTAAATATGAAGTGCAGGTGCTCCAAGAGTCGTCTCCAAATCTCTGAGGAAGGCGGAAGCCCTTAGGACCTCCATGCAGTTGACAGTGATGAGAGCTCCAGTAATCTGTCTCCACTGCTTGGTCACTGGGCTCTTCATCTTATCCAAGGCCAGGTGAAGGTCCTGGATCATATCCCTGTAGCCGTCCCCGTACCGCTTACTCCAGGCATACAGGAAGTCATATGCAGGCTTCCACATTGACTATTGAAAGAAGTAAAATAATAAATCAAAAGTATATTTAAATGTTGACATCACAAATGTCGTGACTAGGATCGGGTTAGACCTTATTCTGTAGACCATGTCAATGATAACTGAATAATATAATATTGTAATAAAACGAGCAAGGTATTTAACGATTGATAAAAAAAAAAAAAAAATGTTACTCATATGTTTTGGATTTTAGTTCACCTGGGCACTAACTTCTCCATTTTTCCCTTTGTGTGGGGCCTCATAAGCAGCAATCTGGGCATTGGAGAGCTTCCCGACTCTCTCAGCAAGTTCCCGCCATCGCACTCCCAGCTCAACTGCTGTGGATAGAATCACTATATCCTGGATGAGATGGGCTACTACACCTTGAACATCAATCTTTAACAGCCCCTGTGGGGAATATAAATCATTAATAAAACTAGTTTTCCTCTGAATTTTGTTGTACACATACATTTACTGTATGTCAGAATAAAAGATGCATACTATGATAAGCTCATGCTGGAACTTCTTCTTGATCTTCTCTGCATGACAGTCTTCCTTGAGCTTTTCTAGAACACAAGCCACCTTCTCTGCCTCTGTTTCAGCATGTCTCCTGGAGATGGCGTTAACTGAGACCTCTGAGTAACCGAGAGCCTCAGCGAAGGTTCTCCAGGACTTGACGTGCTCTGTGACCAGGGTCTGAATAGCAGAGTACATGTAGGTAAGTTTTTTAAAAGGAATTGTCATATTGTCCAAAAGGACTGGTGTGGTGAGCTTAATTCCAGTGAAGTCGATGACTTGATCCTTGGTTATGACCTTCAAGTTCTTACAGTGCACCAAGCCAACTCTTCCTCGAAGAAAGCCAATGTACCATTCCTTAACCTTCATCTGACCTAGAGATCTAACAGTTTCCTTAGAAAGCAAAGCAATCGTATCACCTTTAAAGTATTCCAGAAGATATTCCACTCTCGGTTGTCTGAGGATCGATTTCATTGCTACCCCATACCAATGCAAATCTACAGGTCTATCCTGAAACTTCTGGGTAAGGATTTCTGAGATTGATTCCTCAGGAATAGGCGTGGAACGAGTCACTTCCCTCTGCCGATCTGCTCGCCTGTGGTTGTGTTTTTCTGACCTCAGAGGGGCAGCTTCAGGGGAGGTAACACAGAAATCTCCCAAAGTGAGACTTTTCGGATCCTTCACTTCAATGCTGAGTTTGAAGGGACACATTTCACCTCCACTCACCTTGACCAGATCTAACGGTAAATGGAGCACTTTTCCTGCTTTAAGCCGATCCTGCTTAACCTCTTTATTCAGATCCACTGGTTTCACTTCGAAGTTTGAATCCAACACTCTAGAAGCAATGTGAAGATCTTTTAGGCCATGTGGGTTGAACTGATGCTTTCCCCAAAGCTCCAAGACAACAGGGGGCAGGTTCCTGTCACCTCTCTGGACATCAGAGAAAGGGAGCCTGGGTGGAATATTATCATGGCTCGATATGACCAGCACCACTTTGAGCGATGGGTGTATGTGCTTGGGACCGTAGATGGCCACCGTAATATGTCGATCCAAGTAATCCCATACTGACATAGCAGGTTGCTCCAAAACAGTGGCCTCGGCAGCAGTTATGACGTACATGCGTGGTTTTAAATCAAAAAGCTTCATCTGTAACACGTCATTGTATATGTAACAGTCTTTTATCTTCTGATAAGGTCCCTCTTTCCTTTGAGAGACTAGACCTACAAATGAGGTCAAGACGTGGCTTGTGGGGTCACTTTTTACTTTGGCAGCCATTCTCATTTCTAGCGAAATGCTCCCCGAAACATTATGGTTACTGAGGCTGACCTCTAAAAGAGGGCTCAGAGTTGTGGTGTAGTTGTTGTTAATTCCAGTGGGAGGATCAAGGAGTACTCTGAGGCCGATTTCTTGGATCTCACCTGGGGGGACATGTCCCTGAGGAATATGGGCAGTGATACTGGAGTCTGGCAACTGCACAGAGCCTCCGTTGTGGTCAATCTTGCAGAGAATTTGAATGTCTGTGGCCTGAGTCTGGGCCCATCCAGGACTTTGCTTCATTCGGCTCAGGTCCAAACAAGACCTGGTTAGCTGCCTATGACTCAACCAAGCCATTTTGTAAGCTTCTCTGTCATTCTTCAACCACTCAAAATCAGGATTCAGGAAGGGTTCTTGAGAGTTGAGTCTCATCGTCCGCTTGTCTTCCTTCTTCTCAAGGTTGTCAAGTATATCTGAGGCACTTCTCCACCTCCCAGATCGGTTTAAATTGTTTTGTCTGGGTGCTAAAAGATGAGCAAAGTTTGTTTCATCTGAGGATGTGCTGAGTGAGTCCTCATTAATATTGTCAAACAGAGATAGGGGATCCTCTTTCAGCATGGACACCCCAGAGTCATAGGTGCTGGCGTGGACGATTTCATTTAAGAATGGATTTGACCTGCCCAGCTGATTCCAGAAGGGGTTGGTAGTTTGTTTTGGATTTTCAATTTCATTTGGTAGGACGGGCCACTCTGAGGTTTTCCCCATCTCATAACCGTAGCCCCCTAAGAGAAGAGAAGTTATCAAATGTCAATGGAGAGCCAAGAAAAAATTCCTAATATATTTGTTAGGACAATTAGATCAGTTTGAATAGTATATTTGTGAAGCAAATATAACATTTTGAAAAGAATTTTCACATTATTAACAAATGCATTAAAATAGAATGGATGGATAAAATAATGGACAGAGAGAGAGAGAGCGCTCATTTTTGCATACTTACCATGAAGGTTGTTGTTGTTGATGGTAACATTCTCATCTAGATCTATCAGTGTCCCCTCTGATCTACTTCGAAGCAGATTCCCTGCACGACTGTTTGACTTTACTTTTGCAGCTGCCATTTTGAATATCCAAGATCAAATGACAACAGTTTTGTCTCTAATGTCAAAGCTATTTAAAAAGAATGAACAAATTAACATTAGAAAATATAATTTTACACTCTTAAAAATAAGTTTTTAATTGTAGCAGTTCATTAAGGACCACTGTTATCAAGACCATTTTTGCTGTATTATAGTGTTCTTGAGATGCCTATATGATTATTGGAGATTAATTTATTGATGTTTCATTATATGTTCTTCAGGACAGTTCTCATCCAGTATATTGTATATGCTATATTCAGTATATAGCCTTTAAATAAAACCATTCTTTGTTTTAAAAACAATCTTCTTGAATTGGTTTTATACTAGTGTAACCGATATCATTCTACAACAGTCTAAGAAATAATCTGACACTCACTTTCTTGAACAAAACATGTAATTTATGTTTTTCACATATATTCAACTTTAATTTCTTATTAACAATTTGAGCAATGCATTGTTTATTTTAACAGTAAACAATAATTAACAGACGTTTACAAATAAATAAGTCAAACTTTATGCATAAACAGTCTCAATGAGTCAATCAGTGAAACTTGTTGTTGTTTTGAATCATTTCTCCTGTCATAAGTCTCTGAATCACTGTCCAGTATCCTCTCTGTCTGTCAGTCTCTGGCAATGACTCATTAAATACGTATTATGCAGTGGTAATGCATGAAAACAGGTCTGTCTTGCCTGAATATCAGTGTCTCTTTTACAGAGCTTTGTCTCCTTGGTGAAGGGCTGAGTACTCTATTCAAATCAACAGGCGCTAACACGCCCTGCATCAGCCACGTCACAATACACCTGTTTGTTTTTTAAGGCATGCAAACGTCACCCCATATTAAAAACGTAAACGTTCTATTCTACTAAGAGTTTCTCTATTAAATAAATGCATTTAATAATTTAAGGATTAGCCTATTAAAACGCCATAGATGTCACGCTGTGCTCCAACATGCACACACGATCTATTTAAATCAAAACACGTGAAAGACTTGATGTGGTCAAATACTTATTTTTTATATTCATGCTTAGGTTGGACAAATAGCCTATATACCATAAATAAACTATTTTTAACCTATTTAAACTTAAAACGCTTACCTGAAACATGGTAGTTTCCCCACTCAGTCCTTATGCGAACTTTTTAATCGCCGGGGAGTGTCACCAACTGTACACCTTACACTTCTGTGTGCCTCTATCTGCTTGAACAGTGGAGAAGTGCATACTGGGATACGTAGTACCAAACTGTCAAACAGTTGCATTGAACGTCATTCCCAGGTTCTCAATTAGACTCCACCACCCACAAGCCTTCTCTTTATGTGCGCAAAGAGCGTTGCAGCTCCTGAAACTGCATGGACAAAGTGGTTTCGGTATGCAAATTCATGAGAGGAAAAAAAAATGCTTCTATATGTTTAAAAATTAAAATGGAATAAACTACAGCACTTCAAATTTCTATCAGGAAATAACTTTTTTATTTTTATTAATAGCTGAAACTCAACAAAGCCAATTCAGGATGAGAAAACAACGTTTTCTAAAAGTAATTTTCATTATGTTTTCAGATGTTGTTCATAAAGGATTTATTTGTTTATAGCCCTTCTTTTTGATGTAAATAAAATTGCCTATTCACACAAAATTCACATTTATGTACCGTTTTATTTCAAATATGCCTTTATGTTTTCCCCTCTTAGGTGATTCACTAATAAAATTGAGAGGCAGTTTTTTTGGTTTGAAAAAAGAAATGCATGATCGAAACTACATTTTTTAAATGTTGTATTCATTTCCATTTATTTATTATATTGTTTACATTATGAATTTTAAATGTCATTGAAAGTGCAATGTGTGTGCACTCAAACGTTTATAGCCACAATATTATCTAATAAGATCACAGGGCATGCTTTCATTTAAAATTTCCATTTTTATTTAGTAGAATTAGATTCAAGGCAAGATTGACTTAAGACGTAAACGTCAAGGAGTCCTGTAACATCCTATTAAACTATATTTTAAGGCTCATTAAAACGATTAAATGTCGGTGACCACCATCTAGTGGTTAACTTTAGCTAGTTCAGCTGTGAATTCATGGTAAGACATGGTAACCCTTTTGATTTAACAATGTACAAAACTTTTTAAATAATTTATTTTCAAGGTCAATGTTAATTTACAAATATTATTCTAATTATTGTTCAGTGCTAATCCCTGTTCGTGCATAAGACATTAACTGTTTCATACAACTTGAAATGTTAATAATGTTTTGTATAAATAGAAATTAACATTAACCTCTTAGATTAATAAATTTAATGATTTAATGAAATTTAATGAAGATTACATTTGTTACAATTAGTCATTAGGTATTTTAAATTAAATTTATGCATTTAGCAGACACTTTTATCCAAAGCAACTTACAGGTTATAACAAAGTAGTTTCGCTTTCACAATGAAACACACAGCGTCACACATGGCGGGCTAGTGTGAGCGGAGGCCGGAGACCTAGAGTGAGGAAAGGCCGGCGGGCAGGGGCGTGTCTAGAGCATTTTAAATGGGGGGGCCAGTCGGGGGCACTGGCTCAAAAAAAAGGTTGTGTTTGCGGAACGATGTATGTTATAATACATCGTGTACACTCACTAAACAAGTGAGAGTGGAGAGATTCGTCCTCACGCGAGCCTATCGCAAGACATCTGGTAGGGGGTGCACCTGGATAGATTCGTCCTCGCGCGAGCCTATCGCAAGACATCTGGTGGGGGGGGCACCTGGGGTGGCCAGCCAAATTTCAGGGGGGGCCGGTGCCACCCCTGGCCACCACGTAGACACGCCACTGCCGGCGGGCTAGAGTGAGCGGCGAAGGAGCAGCCGGCGGGGCTTGCGGCAACCACATGTGACGACCCTGGGCTGACTCCGCTTGATCCACAGCGCGAAGTTGATGTATTTCCTCAGCGACCAGCACGGATCAGCTCCAGGCATGACGAAGCGGATATCGTCCTCTTTTGGAAGGTCAAACAAAGTAGTTTCGCTTTCACAAAGAAACACACAGCGCCTTCACGACATGGCGGCGGCGGCAACAACAATACTACAGCGAGAATAAAAGTTACGCCTTCTTTCTTTGCGTGAACATTTGGGCGGCGTTATGCATATCTTCCCACATCGTGACGTAGACATGTGGGGGCGTGTTAGAACGAGCCGTTTTAGTTAGGTGTGGTTGACTCTTAACTTTTATAAAGAATATCTCTTTGGATTTGAGACGTTAGTCTTTGCAACTTTACAGATCTTCTTTATGCACCAAGAGCTTGTAACACTCCAAAGAAAAAGGAAAATTAGAAATCGCATCATATGACCCCTTTAACACCGTGTCTACACCGCAGCAGCTTGAAGTTGTCAACACTGGATGCGACAAAACGGCTGTTGCTTGGACTATTTCAGAAATAGAAATAGAACGTTTAGTTTGCAATTTGTCCTGTCGCGCCACAGTGCATCCTGGGTAGACAATATCACTGATGATAATGGGTTCTATTGTCTTGTGACACATTGTGTTGCGCGCGGTTCGTGTCCGGTTTTTTTCTCAGCTGTTCATGTTCACTTAGTTTTTTTTAATTGGTTTGGTACTATTTTCATAAGGTGTACATTTTCAAAACTCTTAGTACAAAACTTTAAACTGATCACACTTGCAATACCACTAATTATTCTTTCAAAACCTGATCTCATGATTTCATTGTAGTTGCACATATTTTCATTCCACATAATCATTGTTTCAGAACACAAGATCATTGTGATATGTATTGAGAACATTTGGTTTAATCACCAAAACACAACAGTAAGATCTTTTTTCAACTTAGTACTTTTAACAATCAGTTCATTCAGTAGCAAACAATACAAGGTACAGGTTTCAAATCACACTCGGTGCTGAATGAATGTTACTGTTGTAAAACTATACACACAGCAAATGTTACACTTGCGTTCAGACAAAAGCTAGATTTAAAAAAAAAAAAAAAGGGAAACACCCCCCACACACACACCTTTATACAACATGAAAATGTGATAAAAAAAAAAAACATATCAAAAGTCATTTACATACGCAAGCAAAAAAAGTATTTTATTTTAAATTTACAACAATACTGTGGTTGCATGTGAAAAAAAAAAAAAAACCCCAAACAAACAAACAACAACCTGTAAGTGTAGACCTGAAATTCACATTAATTATCAAGCAAAACTGACATTGTCCCACACGATAACATCTTCACCCTGACAGGCCTGCTCAAGCTAATTTAGAAAAGCCATCAGGTGTTCAGTGTTGTATGATCCTATAACTGGTCTACAGCCTACCACACCATCTTCAGATATAGCTGCACACATTGAGATGCTTCCCCCACGTTGTCCAGGGACTTGGATGGTTGCCCTTTGGCCAATAAGGCTACGTCCACGGCGTCTGTTTTTTTCCAGATTGAAACCGGCCTCATCAACAAAAATATACTTGTGATGATTCACAGCAGCGTCCAGCTCCATCACCCTCTAAAATAATAATAATAATTTGGTTAGCTCTTTTACAAATAGACAGCCGTATGTCATTCCTTGCCCTGACCCTTTCCACCACAGCTAACACCTGCTGGTCAGTCAAAACACGTGGGCGACCACTACCAGGTTGTCTCCTGTTAATTCTGAGAGGACAACAGTATGCTGTCAATTTTACTATTACAAATTACATAAAACTGTGACAATTACATGTTTTTCTTCTATACAGTAATGCCATTACTGTAACAGTACTATATTGTAAAAGTATAGTGAAGTTACTATAGCAGGCTTACCGGTGTTCTTGGTGAAACGTTCTGATGATAGAGCTGACAGTTGACCTTTGTAAGTTAGGCTGAACTAACCTGGCAGCCTCTGCCATGGTAAGGCCTCTGTTAACCACACGGTCAGCGATGATGGCCCGGACTTCATTAGAGATGGTGCGCTGTCTTCTGCCTACATTTCTCTGAAGACCACCACTCTGTTGAGGAGCACCACCACCTCTTTCTCTTGGTCCATGTCCACCTCTCTGTTGAGGAGCACCACCACCTCTTTCTCTTGGTCCATGTCCACCTCTCTGTTGAGGAGCACCACCACCTCTTTCTCTTGGCCCACGTCCACCTCTCTGTTGAGGAGCACCACCACCTCTTTCTCTTGGTCCATGTCCACCTCTCTGTTGAGGACCACCACCACCTCTTTGTCTTGGTCCACGTCCACCTTTCTGTTGAGGAGCACCATCACCTATTTGTCTTGGCCCACGTCCACCTCTCTGTTGAGGAGCACCACACCACCACCTCTTCGATGCAAGTTTCCTCTCTCTACAAGTCTATCCTGCTCCATCTTTGAACATTGCAAAGTCTCACACACTCTTCTACTTATATGGTATCTAATTGTGATCATCAGGTGAAAATAATTATGCCGAGTTCACACTGCACGATTTTCAAACTCGTCGGATCGCCGTTGTTTTCACACTGCGTGACTATCTGAGGTAGCATTCAGTTGCTGCTGTGTTCACATTGCACGATGGATCGGCGACAGGGGGTTTCACATTGCATGACTTCACAATAGGAAGAATCGGCCGACAGCTCTGTCTGGTGCAGGGCTACGTTCCACAACAAAACACACACGAGAAGTGATAAGGAAATAACG